GAGATTGCTTAGCAGATATCTTTGCCATTTCACTAACAATTTCGTATTCAACGAGGAACAAAGCGGTATCCTCCGTTGAGTTTGGCAGTTAAAAACCTCTGCACGTATCGGTAACTGTACTTCCTATAGAAGCAGCTATACATGTTCAAATAAACTATTATTTCATTTTAATGTCTACAGTACAAAAAAATATGATTATTGCTGCAGTATTAACAGGCTTCAAAGAGCACACCACGCTAATGCCGGTCCAAAGAAAAAAGCACAATTGCGCAAATGGTTTTTTTGAACCAGATATGTCCTACACCTCTGTACATCTCATCCAAATAATGTAAATCTTGTTTTAAAAACCATGTTTTTGTAACTATACACCGCTTAAAAGCTATTACTTGCAGAGCCAACAAATAAAACAGGTAGTTTGCATTTAAGAAGGTGAGCTAAACGAAGCGTTAACCAAGAAACTGAGAGTTGCTAGATCTACGTGGCTATCTGTTTCATGACCTAGGAATGGAGTGCTGGTACGGAATGCATTCCTGTAAATTACTGCACTGCCCTCTTGAGCAACATGATCCGGTAAATATTTTTAAGTAATTCCAAGTTAAATCTATTGGTTTATAGCCGTACATCTGATCACTACAGCTTATACATTACGCTGTAGGTAATTATCGCCTAGCTATCTCGGTTAAGCGGTTCTTTAATAAAAAACTGGTTCGTACTTTAATTTTAAACTATGTACCCCCTAGAAATGCACAGCGTATCAAGCCGGATCATCACACTGTCCTCGATACTATTCAATGCAACCACCATACTCTTGTTTAGCATTTGTATTTTCACGTACATTGCAGACAAGCGGAGAGCACCATGCAACTTACGGATAGTTTCTGTTCAGCCTGTCACAACGCATAGCATGGGAAAAAATGTAGTTTTCAGTCCACAGGTTGATTTGAAGGATCACTTTCATTTGAACGTAAAGCAGGTTTTTCTATACCTGAGAATGCACAATAAGACTACGTCTGAAATGGTTTGGTCTGAAATTGTGGGACGAAGTAGTTCAAAGCGATTTTATGAAAATTTAGTCAATACCTACAGATTTTTCGATATTACAGATGGTTCTAAAGTCCGATTTGAACTGCGGGGATGTGTCTTTCCATATGTCGGTATGGTGCAAGATAAGCTGCTTGGGAGCGTTGTTATGACGGTAAAACATCCCAATAAATAAATGTATTTGGTCGTTATTGAAACAAAATGTCTTATGTATGCGCTGCTATTATTGCCTATTACTTTTCACTTGGCTGCTCTACACTGGAACAGTCTAATTATACGTTATTTGCAAGATAAATGACAATTTATAAAAAACTAGGATAATTAAACGACTGCACCGTGACATTGAGGGAAAAAGCTTTTGGTAATTCGGTAGTTCTCCTAAACTTTATTCAATTGTTTACGGAGTCCCTACGGTTTATCAACGAACACACTGTGAAAGAAAGTTCATTGAGAAGCATAGTACGCATGTCATGCACGGATGAAAATCATGACACAGTACATTTTTAATGTTTCTTCTTTCCAAATATTTGTCTGGTAATTTTTTTCTTCTTTTCTACATATGCTACGCCCTCCACGTTACTTACGCTTTTCAGGCTTTTCTGATTCACAACAGTTTCTTCAACATCTTCGCTCTCCAATTCCTTCTCAGAGGCCAGTAAAATACTTGCAAGCAATTCTTTCTGCTCCTCCTTTGTTTTAAACACTCGATTATCAAAATTATCCATTTTCATGTCGTCAAAGACTTTGAAGGTGTATCCCTGGTCGATCAGATACTGCTGTCTTTTTGTGGAGTAGTACATTTCGTCTGTGTCTTTCGAGACTAACGAGTAGAAATACACCTTGAAGCCAGGATCATTTCTTCGTTTCGCGCGGAGAATGCGGCCAAGCCGCTGTGCTTCCTGTCTTCGACTGCCAAAATGGCTGCTGATCTGTATTAAACATGTTGCTTCAGGCAGATCAATCGAGGTGTCACCCACTTTAGAAAGAAAAAGCGTGTTAATCATGGGATTGGTCTGGAACTGCTTGAGAATCTTCATTCTTTCCTGTTGTCCTGTGGGACCGTAAATGTAAGGCTTACCCAGCTTCAGTGCATAGCTCTTAAGCGCGTGTACATTATCTGAAAACACTATAATTTTGTCCCCTCGCTTCTCGTGCATGTTTATCAGGTACTGTGTGGTTTGGAACTTGATAGGATTCATTATGGCGATAACCCTGCGCTTTCTCGTGTTCTGCCGAAGATACGCAGAGTAGAAATGATTTGTCATGGAGCACCAAACCTCAAAACATGAGACTGTGGCGATGTGCCCCTGCATGCTCAGATACTGCCAATCTGCCTCGTAGAGCTTGGGCCCGATGAGAAAATTGAGATCCTCAATTTTGTCATCCTCACGTAACAATGTAGCCGTTAGCCCCAGCTTACAGTGATGAGACACCAAACCGAGGACTTTTCTGAACATCTGAGCGGGAACCACATGCACCTCATCAAGAATGAGCAATCCCCATTCTGTATTTTTTATGTGATCCATCGCCTTTTGTGCCTCGTATGACCGTTTTCCTGAAAAGCATAGCATCGTATACGTTGATACAATCACAGAGTCACATACATCCTTTCGCTCGCTGGTAAAACACGCAATATCGTCGTCCTTCACGTTCGTAAATTGCTTTATCTGTGCTTTCCATTGTTCCACCGAGACAGCGCTCGTGCAGAGCACTAATGTCGGTTTTTTAATTGTGCAAATTGCTGTGATGCCCACCAGGGTCTTGCCGCTCCCGCATGGCAACACGATTATTCCACTTCTGCCTCGACCGTTTCCAAACATTTTGTTGAGACTTATCTCCTGATACGTCCTTATTACTATATTGTTCTTCAGTTCCATGTCAATTTCTTTGAGCTTTTTATCATTTCTGAAGTCGTATTCTTCAATCAGCGGAAAATCAATTTCGATGCACCTCTTCTTCAAGCATTCCAGATGTTCCGGTCGGATCTCATATGTCAGCGATGCCGTGTTTTCGGACATATCATCGGCAGAAACAACTTCCTGTTGAATCAACGCGGTCGATATTTGCGAATCTTTAAGCACGGTCTTAAGCACATCTTCGTTCAAAATCTCAATGAAGTATTTCGATTCACGTAAAATCAGTTTTAGCTTACCGTACGACAGCGTACAAGCGATTATAAATTTTCTTATGCACTTAGGAATCACATTTTTTGAGAGCCGGTCAAGCGAGAAAAGAATATCATCCGTGTTAAGACCTACTGATGCAGCTGCGTACAGCGAGTAAGATGTTATTTTGTATTCATGAATGTGCTTTGGTCTTGATATAGGCTCAGATATAGCGATGAGAAAGTCTGTTGCCGCTTTGAAAAGCGGCGAGAATGTCTCAAGTATGATAATTCCGTCATAATTGACCCAAAAGGGATAGTCGAGGTGATTGTCTTTCAGCACGATGCGCTCATACGTTGGCGCTTCTCTATGTGCTTGTTTCGGAAGGAATACCTCTGCCATTTAGCAGGGGCACTATGTTCATCACTTAAAATATTATGATCCTGGGAGTAATCAATGTCGAATAGATGTGCATGGGATGTCAGTATGCAGATAACTTTCAGTATTTCAAGCAAGAATGATACAATTGACTCCTATCGTGCTATAAACGTATGTAACAAGCGGTAAATGTGTATTTGGTCAGTATGAAGCATATCACGGCATGTTGTATGTCCTTTGCTAAAACTGTCATGCATGGGATGCTAATGCGGATGAGCGGATATATAAAGCTGTAGAACACGAAAATTTTATCATCGAGGAATTTAAAATTTTGGTTTATATCACACTTTCTGTGTTATAGCAGAGGGAAGGCGTCTTTGGGATGACGGGTAAGTCTCATACATCAAATTTCTTGGTCTTTATGACGTATTTGCACCAATCGACACGTTCTGCCCATTTTTGATACTAATTATTTGTAAAACCACAACGTCCGCTAACAAAAACGGACACGAACTCATGATCACCCATCAATCACGAGCAATGCTACGAGGCAAGAAAGGTAAAACAATGATTTATTGGGGATGTTCCGCTACCATGCAAAATTCTGCACGCTCCACTGCTATGGCACTGGCAATAAACGTAGCAAACATGTTTATTATAACATATCATGTTTTCGTTCATTACCCATTATCCTTCGCACATCTTCAAAAAAAGCATCTTGCACCTCCTCGGGCATGTTAGCCGTCATAAAATCATATATCTCTTTGTATAGCGCTTCAATATTGACGTTCTCGTTTACCTCCAATGCTTCCATTTTTTGAACAATTTTATCGTGGAATCCCGACTTTTTTATGTGCAAGTCTAGCAGATTTAACAGTTTGTTTTTTGTCTCCTCAGAAATTAAATCGTCCGATGTTTGAGGCATTTCGTGCGCAGGGCAAAAAATTGAAAGCGCAAAAGAGCCGCATAGAATTGATCAGTACCAATGTTGTGTGTAAAAACATGTTTAAGTATGAATTTTGATCGGTTACACGGTATTTTAGTATTTTTATTGCGAGTATGCTTATAAAGCCCGCATAGTATAGGCCGTGTACGGCATGATAGAATATAACAGAAATGTAAAATCCGATTGTTCATAAAATTGGAGTACCGTGTACCGCTTCATTGCATTTAAATAGTCATTATAACATCGTTGTATTATAGATAATTAGTCTTTAAGTGGACTTTATTGCAGGCTTTGTACATGTTTATCACATTATGTAAATGCTCTTCAAATTGTAACCGGTGCAATAACCTTGTTTGGTTAGTCTGGCGAGCTAAAATTAATTTTTAATGCTATGAGCCTCTGATACTGGCACTAGCTGTATTTAACATTAGAGCGTAATTCGGGTGTGTATCCAAACTTATTTTGCTGTAAGAACCGCCCTAGCAACATAATATATGGTTTAAGTAAATCGTACGGGGTATTTGATCATGAGATCAGGATTGTACTTTTCATTTGTAACCTGCTGTAACTTTGCAGCTAGAAGATGTTGAATCGTAGAAGACTTATTGCTAGACCTTAAAATTCATAAAACAAATAAATAGTAACAGGCACATGCTATATTATGAGACTTTAATGTTGGTATCAAAATATTCGCAGAAAGAGCTTGGAGATATAATGGATTGATATTAGAAGATAGTACGCTCAATAATCTTTAAATGACATGCAGGATGTATTTATTGGTAAAACAGAATTGTTTATTTGTATTTACCTATTTATGAGGATACGTGTTCATATTATGTAGTTCGATCTCATCTCCCAAAATCTAGACAATATATTCTAATTCAGTGTAACAAATATACCTTGGAGAGTGTTGCTGAAATGTCTTCAGTGCGAAAAACTGAACTACACCAAGACAAAACTCACACTCTCAAAAATTCGCTTTATTGCATCAAATATACGTAAGATGACCGTATGTCTACGAGTTAAAAGATTTAGAAAACGCTTTATTACACGGTCTGCGTTTAAATTTTAAATTTTTACTCTGAATTTTTTACAAATCTTCTTGTATATTAGGTCACTGCCCACATTTATGGATAACACAGCCAAAAGAGTGAAGTAAAACACAGGATTGCCATATATCGTGTAGTCCACTTCATCTATCCCAAAAATAACGGCAGCAAAAACTATGGTGGTCATCACCATGGATATGATGGTGTAAACGTTAAAAAACTCAATCAGACTAACCTGAAAAATGAACGTGCTGATGAACACAACGTATGAGAAATACGTGGTCATGTACGCATAGTTCCAGTCTAGCATTGCAAAACTCACCCAGTACAGAAGACATCCCTTCACCACTGCAAACGACATCGAAAAAATGATGGATCTGGTCGAGAAATAGTCTCTTGTCTGTTTATACGACTCAAGTATCCGCCTTTCTGTGGCCTGATCTTGGAACTCACGCTGTTCCTTTCCCCTATCAAAAATGGCGATCGTGAAGGGAATGAATGACGTAAACAGAATGTTGAAATAATTTAGGAAGTAATAATTAAAAGCGCTCAAACCTGAAAACCCGTTTGAAAAATTATAATTGAACTGAAATGTGATCAGAAAGATGTTTTTGAAGAATGAGTTGATGGTCAACTTGGAGAATCGGACAAGATTGTTCTTTCCATGATGGAACAGCAGCTTTCTCAGGTGATGGAAACTCATAACGGCAAAGTCCCCTGCAAGTGCAGCCTGGCCACCTTCCTTTCCCCTGATACCCACACCAACTGTGCTCGCGTTTATCATTGACACGTCGTTGTTTCCATCTCCTATGGCCAGTACAGTCAGCCCCCTTTTAACAAGTTCCTTAGCCACTATAGCTTTCTTGTCGGGAATTGCCCTATAAATGATCAGAGAGTCTGGCAGTCTTTCCATCCATACATCACGATTCATAGGAAGCGACGTGTTGCTGTTTAGCTGCTCAACTATTTCATCCGGTTTGTACGCCGCATCGCTCACAATACCAACACTTCTTCCACAGCTGAGCGCTGTTTCTTTCTTATCACCGGTTACCATCCAAATCTTTATGCCCGCTTCCTTTAAATCTTCTACTGTGTCCTTAACCTTGAATCCTATTCTGTCTTCGATATACGCTATGCCAGCAAATCTCAACTTGTTCTCCAATCCTTCAAAGAGTCTCTCAATCGATTTTGGATTTAACATGTTCTCATGATACTCATTCAGAAATACGTTCAGTTCGTTGGCATCTTCTATCTTTCTATGAACCACCAGCAGCGACCTGTAGTTAGAATTAACCTCCACCGTTGATGGTGGACTCAAATGAGCGTTTAATCTCTGATCCGATCCCTTGGTGAACAAATATATATCGTTATTTCGAACAAAACGTTCGTTTTTGGTATTTATCTGCACGAGTGTGCTCATTCGCTGTCTCTCCGAATTAAATTCTAGGACAGCAAGCACTTTAACATCATAAATCGAGTTTGCTATTTCAACTTTTAGCATTATATCGGCCTTGTTCCGCAGAAAGCAGCCTACGCTTTCCAGCCTCTCTACAATAGAAATTTCATCCTGCGATATTCCCTCGTACTTGTTGTTGATAAGCTGCAGTTCATTATTGCACAGTAGATTTATCACAAAAAAGAACGAATCTTCCATATTCAATGAATCTATTCCCCTGAGACCACTTCCTGTATCGTAGTACCTGAAATTCATTTTGTTCTCCGTTAATGTCCCAGTCTTATCACTCAGTATGATGTCAATCATGCCAATATCCTCTGTTACATTCGAGTTTCTGCAATACGCGCCTTTTATGTCCGGGTCATAGCTCACAAAATTTTTTTGGAAGATGCGTGCCACCTCTATCATCACAAACAGTGATAGAGGAATAAGATACGAGTAAAGGATGTAATTTGTTCCTGTGAGCTTCAACGCCTGCTTGCTGAAGTTGTCAATCTCGTAGATATTTACCTGTTCTCTTCGCAAATTTGCTGTAAGTATAGTACAGGACGTAAATAGAATAATGAAATACAAAATAAATATGTAGAACATTTTTCTTTCGACTTTTTTTTCAAATTTGCTCCGTTTCAAGTCTGTCTTGTGTTGATTTTTGCTTATCTTGGTTTTATCGCCCACCGTTATGACCAGCCCGAGTATTTGATCCGTTGATCGGACGTGGGTACCTCTAAGCAGAATATTCTTCTCTGTCTGCAGTAAAACATTGTTATCGAATTTTATCTTCGCGCTTATATCATTGAAGTCGATTCCGCCCTCGGAAATATCCAATTCTCTGATGTTTCTTATTATTCGTTTGTCACATTCACACATTTCGTAGTCGGAAGTGGGCCGTGTACCTCCACACGGATCTATCACAGCACTTATATTGCTCTGTTTCTTTTTAAGATTTGCCTCACCATCCAGAGAAGATGTCTGTATGAAACAAAACCCCCGGCACTTCAAGTATTTTCCGTCAAACACCTTGGCATTAAGCAACACAATATCGCTAGGTACCTCTTCGTTCTCCCTGAGAATGATCACATTGCCCACCCTGAGATCTTCTACGTAAGATGATGTAGCCATAAAATTGGTTCCATCTGCATTGCAGATATCAAGTTCGCTATATTCCTCAGTTATGTTATTTGTTTTTTCCATAATTTTGTGTATTATTCTCTCATTTGCATGCCTGTCCTGTTTGTGCCTTATAATGTCTTCTATGCCATCCTTGAAGATGCTTATGCCGATCACGATCAAAAAGGCCGTTAGGTACGCATATGGAGGGAAAGGAGATACAGCAGGTATCAAAAGGAGCATAAGTGTCACGAAGAAAAACACATTGCTATATTTGGAAAACTGTCTGTATAGATTTAGAGGCAAGAAAGAGGCTAACGTATACTTCGAAGTAACTATTTTGTTTTCTTTTACGGCCATATATGAAAGGGTACGTCCTCGGTTTGTTGATTTATCGCAAAATTAAATTTACAGAATGATTGGAAATTCCGTACAGCTATAAAAATAAGCATTCGATCGAATCTCTAGCTTGTTTCCAAAAACATGAGTATTTGTACCTTATGTTTGATCAACAGTTGTATTACTAGCTTTCCTTGAAAAGGTTTAATTGTTTGTTTGTTAATTTCCTTTTATCTGTGGACCAATTAATCACAAAAACCAATTAAAATTTAATAAAATGTAACATTTACTAGGTGAGGTGATGTAAAGCAGTATAATATCAAGGAAGCATTGCATTAGAAGTGTTGATGTTATGAGCTTGAGTATGTTAACGGTGGAAGTTATTTGCTGCTTAATGTGCTTTAAATATCTTTGGTTGTGTGTTGTATGACTGGGAAATAAAGACTTGGATTCTTATGGAAGATACCAGGTGACCAGGGTGTGTATCGTGCGGTAAAGCATTTGATCAAAGGGGCTTTTACGAAAAAACACTGGTCTACGGTGTGGTGCAAATAAAATAGTAAGTAAACCAATAAAGATAAAGAAAAGCATGAGATATAACATTATTCATAGTTTTAGCTTAATTCAGCGAAAAATATTGTTTTTTTGAAGTTAAATTCAGCAATGAGTTCAACTAACATTTAATAATTACGTATTTACTACTAATTAAGTGGTATGAGTCCATTATGTCGGTAGAACAAAATAAATACGTTTTAAAAACCTGATTATAACACAAAGCTACACTTTCTTAGTATAGATCACATTCTTTAAATATTGGCTTTAGAGCTGAGATATAGTTGCGAAGTCTAAACACAGTACTTTACGGGGATACTTGCCCTTTTATATACTAAAAATAAAATTTGAACTCTTGGAGAATAGTGCAACAACCATAGAAATTCTAAGACCCATGAATACCTACTTAGTTTTACAGAACATTACCTACCAAATATAAGCTATTGTTGTAATGTATAAGTCTAGTTTCATTTCAATCTACAAAACGTGCTATTGCATGGAATGATAAAAAATTTTATCTTTATTAATACCTTAAGGTTGGAGGTTGAGTGGTTGACTGATATAGCGTAATTTGTGGGCATTTAAATATGATTATTATATTTTTGGCAAGCTTTGTTCCCAGATAACCAGAACAGATTATGCTTGAGATATGACAATACTGATCTGTAGTGACGAGTAACTTGAGGATAAGGCGCTTTCCAGCAATATTTAATACGAATAATGCATCACGATATTGTTTCTCATTCATAAACATTAAGCAGAATATCAGTTCAAATACCTGTATTCTATTTCACATAATAAGGTGTTTTATCAACCATATGGATGGCATATGAGGAGACAAATCCTGTTTCGATAGGAGGAATCACTAAATTAATGCAAAAGGCTAAAAATACTTTTAACACTTGCAAAACAATGGTCTTTATTTTTTAGGATATGCAGCTATTCAGAATATTTGATCATGTCAACCTGCTTGTAGAAAACCAACATTCATTGCTGTAATGTTTGTGTTACGTGGTGGTAGGTACATAATTTTATTTTAAATGTTTGCATACCGGAATATGTTTTGGTATTATAAAGTTTTCTCTTTGGCCATTTCGTGGTGCAAATTCCTGCATCCAAAATTTAAAATAGTTTATTCCATTTCTATGCGATCTTTTCTCGTAAAATGCATGAAAACATGTTGAGTTCAGACAATTCGTCGAATTCTTGGAGGAACTTTGTGATTTATATTTGCTGCCTGAGAGTGTTTGAAACAAAATTATTGATCATGATACATACTCGAATAAATATTTGGAAATTGGCAGTATGCAACACATTTGTACATGTAAGCTCATAGTTGTCGATAAGCAAGTTTTTCGCAATGAGCTGTAAACCTATTACATTCATTTTGATGAAACTGCTTTAGGCAAAATTTAGAATTGTTGTTGAATCGTTTTGAGCACCATTACGACAAAAGGAAAAATCGTCAAAGCGCTGATATTTTGACAAAAGTGAATTATTAATCGGTTTCAGGGCCTAATTAAAAATTGGTAAACAATTAGTTCTAGCCCTATAACGCTATAACCTGAGAATAAATGATTAATTAGTGCTTTCGTAAACAAAGTACCCCAGAAGTTGCCTGTTTTGTACTAATAATAAAAGGGTCCGTGTCCAAAAAATGGAAATGTCCTTTTACGAGCATGCAGGAAAGAATTGTGATTAGCACACCAATACACTGTAAAACGATGCCATACACGAATATTTATAAGAAATGAAGTGCATTTCATTCCTACACTATCTAACATACTGCAGAACTATGATGCTTACTGCCATAAAAATTTTACCTAATTATGATATAAATATTTACATCAGTCCCACATTTGTTTTCTTTTGAATCAAACTATAAAAGCACAAATAATCGAAACACAAATATTTACATGCTGAGTACAATCGGAAGAAATTGCTTGTTGAATGATCCAGGGAGCAGATATGAACGAAAAAGTGTTAAGGAATTAGTGCAGTTTTTTAACGAAAAGGATAACTCTGACAAAGGAAAATGCGCGATTCTCAGTGTATGTAAGAAGGAGAAGCTGAGAGGCAGTCTGAATTGTACGGAAATCAAACGAGAAGAGCCGTTAGGTGTTCATCACGAAGGGATACGCGAAAAAATGGCTCAATCTGGCGATAAACACGTAAAGAGTAAACAAACATACATCGACAGAAAAGTGAAAGATAACAAGCGAACTACATGTTCTGAAAACGTAGATAAAATACGGAAACAGAAAACAGCGGTAATTTATGACGAAACGATCGCAGCTCTGAGAAGCAGCAAGCTATCAATGCTATATGAGAAGCGGCTAGACGAAATGTTGATTTTTAACGAATTGAAGATAACAAATGTGCAGCAGGTCAAGCTAAGCAGAAAGAAGAAAATACAAGTTTCTAACAGGAAAATAATGCGTTATAACACGTGTTCTATGCTGCAAGCGGACAGAGTAACAGACGGCATATGCACAGGAAAAGAAAAAAAGGCGATACAAAGGCACCTAGACAGGCTTAAAAATGATTGTATAGAATACGAAAAACTGGATAAATTCGAAAAATGGCAACTTGCCGTTTATTGTATGGCTAAACTAAGAAAAATGGCCATCAATGAAAATGTTTTCTTAAAGTCGTTCAATTTTATTCTGCGATTGTTTAAATTATACGATGTTGCACAACCAAAATTGGACGGAGTTAATCCTGTAATATTCAACTTGATCAACCATCTAAAGATACACGGTCAAAAAGAAGTCGGTATTTTTAGGCTTTCGGGAAGGCTCCAAAATGTGCAGGTTGTGATAAACAAAATTAAAGAACAGCAGAAGATAAATCCGTCAACATATGCTGCCCGTGATATTGTGTCACTTCTCAAAATATACATAAGGAATGACCTTGACGGCGTGTGCACGAAGGATATCACAAAAGTTCTGCTGAGCATTTTTCACCGAAACGGGCAGGTAATCAACAGCTCACTCAAATATCTACCGTTCATATTTTATGGTGATAGGAGAAAACTGTTGGTATCAATTTTTGAGCTGTTTGATGAAATATCTGATTGTGAATTTCATAATAAGATGAATCGCCAAAAACTAATTCATTGCACGGCACCCACCTTCTTTTCAACGGTAGAGGTCTTGAACTTAAGCATCGTCTCTACACAAATAAAAATCGTGGAGACCCTTGGCAGATTGGACTTTAAGTACGTACCTAAAGATCTTTACAAAAAAGCGATGAGGTACGGTTAGTGCAAGGAACTAGCCGAACAGATTAAATAGAAATTCTATTACCAGGGTCTCAAACGCACTACAGCGATGTAAGTGTAATTAAAAAGTGAACAGTTATGTTTTATTATCTCTCGCCACAATAAAGTCCTCATGCCCGCAACAAATTATATAATTGCAGACATTTAAATTAATAATAACGTTATGTTTAATTTTGTGGTATCAGACAGGATGAAAAGTTGAACTTGCCAAGGATTGGAAAGGTGCATATATCTGTTGAAACAAGAATTACACAAGGTCAAACTCATGTAACATGCTTAGAAAATCCTTGCATGACAAAATTTTGCTTGTTTCAGGGATTGTTTCATTTCGATCTTCGCCATGCTTCGTAATCCTGAACTTTGTTAATTTGTGCGATAAATAAAACATTTAATGCCCGATAATTGATAACAAATGTGCAGGCTCTTTGCAAAATGGAAGTTCGATAATTAATGATTTCTTTCCTCATCACTGGGCAAGCTGCCCTCTTAGCAACGTACCATTGTTTTTGAATATACTTTTTCATTAAAAGTATGTTTATTTACCTCCTCGTACAAAAAAGCCAAACAACACACTTTTCCGGCCCTCTGAGCTGACCATAGCCGCTAACCCGTGTTCCAAATATTGTCAACCGCTCATATATCTTGAGCCACAGAAAGAGAATCCTCTGTGCCATCATATCCCTCTAGTATTACAACAATAGCGCTAAGATACCTCTTGCTACAGACCAAATACTTTATATAACTGGCAATAAGACTTATTAACCAGTTTGTTCGCATGATCACACAAATTTGGCATATATAAAGTTTTCGCAGCATGGAACTGCACCGAATAGGCTACACTAACACGGCCTGGTGATACGGTGGTTAACGTGTCACTGGTACTACAAAATATCAAAATCTACTTCGAATTTGAAGTTTTGTTCAGTTTGAGTTTCAGCGAGGGGAACAGCGTAAGATACTGTCACATTGGTAGCAACATTTTTGTACCTGTGCAAATCAATGGTACAACCAATTCCAGTGGACCATCCCAAACAACTAGGCTTGTGTACAAGAAATAAGCTCAATACGGACGATTTAAGCGTCTCAAACAGGTTATTCTGCCTTGAACTGAACCCTAAATCATTAAAAACAAAGAACTTCATTCTTCTGAATGTGTATCCCAGTGCATTAGATAGTTCAATGCACGATTTGCCACCCACTTTCTCATTCATATCCAACGGTGATATGCTCATAGGGGAATATCCCCTGATGTTTTCGCCCAGGAAAAATTTCTCTGAGCTATGCACGTGGCCGTGAATTACACCAGCACGCATCCGCAGTTTATGAAAGAAATTCAAAGGCAGTGCAGTCACATTCTTGTACAGCACAGTCAACTTATAAAACAGGCGATTCTCAAAACAACCTGCTTTAAAATCGTACGACATGCTCTCGTTTTGCTTATTTCTTGCTCTGACGTACAACATATTCGTCAAATTTTCTATAACTTCATATACTAACGAATACTTGTGGTACGACGAGTAACTCAGCGTATATTCCTTCGTTTGTAGCTCTGCAAGCGCATTCCTTCTTTTGTACGATGACACGTTGAGCTCAATAAAATTAAAAAAACCGTTTTTATTGAGTAGAGGAATGGAAAGATTAACATGTAGGGATTTGACGGCTGAAATCAAGAAATTAAGTGACTCACCCCGACCCAGCAAGTTGGGTAACTTCAGTTGCAAGTAAGGTGTGAACCTGCGTGAGAGATCCACATTAGTGCCCGCTGATATTCTATACTTTTCTTCCTGTACGCTCAGTTTGAGCTTTGTATCCTTGTGGCCCCTTAGATCAATACTCTTGAATATTTTCAGTTGCTGTAGCGCTTCCTCAAATGTGTGCATAGACATGCTTTTCTCCAATATGCTCGTGATAAAATCCGGTTTTGTCCTTTTCAGTCCTATAACATCAAAGTTGAGAACCTTCATTGCAAAGGGTCACGTAAATAATTTAAATCTGACGACCGGTACAAAAACTGATCGTTGACTTATCCCCGGAATAACAGGAGCTATGTATGTAGGATGCATTCTTTTATTTTTACAGCTGGTATTGAAACTACTTGCTACATTTTTGAATCATTTAATAGTATGTGTCTGTTTTTTTAAGGTCATGGGCATTGCCTTCCTTTATTTTAATATCGTAAAAATTGAGATATTAAGAAAAGTTCTTAAATCGCTTGCACGCAGCAATTAGAAGTCTGGTTGATCGGCACTATAGCTATAAACCATGGTGCTACTCGGTTTGTAATAACAAATTTTTATTGATTCATGTGGGAATAGAGAGAAATTACTTTTATAGCAGCTTTTGGAACGTAACAAAAGATGAAAGCAGACAAAATAAACGTAATGATATGATGCCAAGGCACTTGTCTGCTTGTGACAAAAAATTGAATAAGAATACTGAAATATTGGACTGGTGTGGTACACCAGGCGAATCTCATGCTGCACAGGTTCACATATTAAGACACGTCTTATAGAGTTATGTGCAGGTAATGCTTGGAATTTGTTTTTAATTCGTATTATGAATGTAAGGTAAGTTTGACTTTCTGGTTAAACATCTGATTAAATTAATCCGTAATTAAAGAAGGCGGTATCATGGCAAATTGGTGCTGTTAGGGTTAGAATAATGGTGCAAGAATTACTACAACAGTACTTAGTGTAGATCTAACCAAAAAAATAACGTAGAGACACAATCAGGTATAAACATTTTTACTGCCGCAGAGAGACAAAAATCTTTGCCCGTACCACCATCTCAGATACCAACAGCAGAAAAATAAGGTACAAAGAGCACAACATTCTAATAACAGAAAGAAATACATTGAACCGGATGCCATTCAAATCTAAATTACAGAGTTAGAGTTATTCAGCCACTGGAAATAACACCGGACACGATAGCATTGGAAAGAGTAATGATGGTAAAACTACCGCAGAAGCGCGCAGATCACGCGAACCAGATGCAATATCATTTATTTTCAATCAACTCCTCGTATAAATCCTTAACATCGTACTGGCCAACATGCTGCCACCCATCATTGTCCATAAAATACAAATTGCACGAACCACCAGAATACGCATCACGGTACGTGGCATAGAAAATGGAATCCCGCGCCAACTTAAGAGCCTCATCACGACTCATATCATACCTATAACTGGTATTTAACACGCCATAAGCTATTGTGGATCCACTGCCAACACTGAAAACCGTTCCTTTTACCATTGTGCCCTCGTTATCGAGGTAGTAAATCTCTGGCCCATTATCGTCCCATCCACACACCATCGTACCAATGGAAAGGCCACTTTTACCCACTACACAATTACGCAAATAATTCACAGCGGCTGGCACAGGCAATCTCCTGCCGTTCGTAACCTCATAGAGCTTCGCAAATGCACCCATTCTCTTCTCCCAGTAGAGGCAATCTGCAGCACCGCCAGCCATCGTGCTCACCAGATATTTGTTCACCCGGATCACCTTGTGAACGGATTGCGATGCGATGTAACTGCCCGATGTGGCACGCGAGTCTACTGCTATGGCAATCCCTTCCTTGAATATAAACGCAAGTGTTGTTGTTCCTTTGTACGGCTTTACCATATCGTGTATTTTCTGGTAGTCTACATCGTTCCTAAGCGCATTGCCTTCGAAGAACGAATTTCCGGTATTTCTGCCCGACATCAAAGGGCAAAATGTTTTTTGATTTATAATAATTTGATGAAACAACATCTATCTGCGCTTTCATACGTTGGGCATATGCACAGAGAATAACCAACAAATACGTGATAAACCGTAATATTGCGTAATTTTCATATTACAGCGATGGCGTAGCTTCGATTGAATAGTTTCCTCCAAAATATGTTCGCGATGCAAGCATTCCTATGATCAATCAACAATTGAAGCACAATCATACGCACAGAGTAATCCTGGTCATCAAGAGCCATTTACGTATGATTGAACGAATTACCGCGCGGTGATGAGAAACACTTTAAGCGTATACTTTATAGCATATTCCTAATTTACTGGTACCTGTATCTCAATCGTGTCGCTGATTACAGAGACAAAACTCCAATAGAAGAACAAATCGCTTCATATTTTGTCTGCTATCACAGAGTACATAACCACGTATTATACAAGATTGTGTGTAGCATATTCGGTAATATTTTGCATGCTCACGTGCTACACTTGTCGGATGAAACGTTATCCGTGATTCTGTTCATGGTCTTAATTCGTAGAAGCGTAGGCAGGTACGAGAGGCAGCATTTTATTATTAGCCCTTCCAAGATTTGCACAAACATGTCGAATGAAACGAATTATGAAGATATATCCGAATAATTATGCTAAAGGCAGTTTGTGAAACTAATTAAAAAGTCGTTCGCGTGAATGACTTTGTCCGCCAACAATTCCTTTATATATGCTTTATATCATTCTTAATTTTCATCTTTGATTATTCTGCACCATGCTTAGCCAAAACACATCGAATCGGCTAAGTAAATTTGCAAATTGAACAACAGCTTTTGGCACAGATAGCCCTTTACAACTGTTTATATTAAAATCTATCGAATAAATTGCACGGATACGTAGCACCCGCGATTGCAACCGAATAAGTTTGAACAGATCAGACCTTATTCCTTGTATTAAACGCTTTCGTGTACAAAGCAAAATTTTTCTACCTATCATATGTGCGCCAAGCACATAAAATGGCCATTTATTAAGTAAGTACGCAATGAAACAGGGGCGCATCTCATTCCAAATTAATTCTTAACAGGGCGTTCATCTGCACTTAACAATCTCATTTAATTCGTAATTCGTTTACGGTTCGGTGTAAGATGATACATTCGTGTTTTGTATTGTACTACTGGTTTGTATTCTTGGTACGAGTTTTTCTCATGTAAAATCTTGCTAGTGATCTAAGTCGTGCAGAATGGCGTCCGTTAAGTAATCCTTTTTGTGATGATTAGGCTTGGCCCGTCTTTATGGCAACAAACACACCATGGCTTTGGTGTTGTGAAAAAGCAAGATAAAGCATTTATTTTGGCATAATAATCCTGTATGGGTGATTCTTTGGTGTTCGTGATGTGGGAAATCCACATATTTCTTGTTACACAGTGTGTTATCTTTGGACAGTTGGGTGTACCATCCTAGTAGTTATCTTAATCTGCCAAATGCACAGTGCTGTTAACGCTATGATAACCATCTATCTCATACATCTCATGAATGTATTATTTTATACCTATTCATTGTTAACGCTTTCTTCACGAACAAATTCAGAAATATTTACAGCCTCTAAGACGTATATACACAACAAATATTTATTTTAGTTCGTAAAGCATCGATGAGTAAATTACTACAGGAGTATCCTTTATTCTTATAAAATACAGAATCTTAGTTTTGTTATCAGTCTTACTTTCCAAAGAATTTGTTCAAGCTGATAGTAATCTTCCTTGCACCGATATGCTAACCAAAGGAACTCTAAATTACTCCTTTTTTGGACTGACGGAATTGATTCGGATTCCATGACTAAATTATTTAGCGCTTTCGGTATCGCATCACAGAGAAGAAGAAAACGATAAACCGATGAACACAGGTTTGACTTTCCTACCTTGTTAGAGCATTACCTTCTCTAAAGCAATGTACTTGAGCGCAGTTAGAGCTTAATTACAACAATTTCGGCAGAAATGCAAAAAATGGCGCAATTTACCATTTACAGTTTTATTCTAGGCCCTCAAACAGAATTGTTACCATTATTCATTTTAATTATTTCTTATCACAGCCACTCCTTCTCACTCACACATCCATCAGAACATGTTTCACTCCTTTTTATCAACCAATCAATTTTCTTTCAAAAAAAATAAATAAAAAACACAAAAAGGAGGGGCATGATGAGCAACTCGATCAGAGACATTTTCCAGTACAGCAAGGAATATGACATGTCCAATGGAATTCCATTGAAACACAACAAGTACAACAGATACTTCCGTGATAGCACCAAGTACGACCTCGATTACTTCGGTCTCACGTTTTCACAGCGTCTTGGTTGTTTCTTTGTTTTTCTCGTAGCTGCGTTTTTGTCGTTCATTTACAGCCTGTTCAACATTCTTGGTGCCATTGTAAGCCCAGCAAAGTTCGCGCTGCCCTACGCTTTCTCCAACTTCCTGTTCTTCACGATGATAGGATTCCTTGTGGGATTTAGAAAGTACTTCAAGAGCACCTTCTCGCAGAACAGGTGGAGGTACACCACGACGTTCCTTGTGTGCACGTTCTTAACCATTTACAGTGCGATGAAGATAAAAAGCTATTTCTTCAACTTTACGATGGCTATAATGCAGATAGGATCGTTTGTTGTGTTTGCCATCACATATTTGCCCAAAGGAACAGAGAGACTTGGAGATGTCTTAAGATTCGCACTTTCGAAGAACTGAGTATGTAATGTGCTGCACGAGGTAAAATAAAAAGTTCTTAAAGTAGAAATTTAAGTTGCTTGATGATGAAGCTACCATACTTTGTAACAAGTAAGCGTGTCTGTTGACAGCACTTGGTTTTTCTGTCAGACTGTTCATGCTTGATGGCTATGCTTCTAACCCTGGTACTTTTTCATTAAAACTTTTTGGCACAAGCCCATATGTCTGTTTTTGACCGCCTTACCGAACTATAAGCACGTTCAATTCGTAAGTTGTGCCAAATTTCAGTGTATGAGCACGACACTACCCTTAAGACAAAATTGATTTCAGCCCTTTAAATGCAGTCCTCGTTGAACGAAAAAGATGGCAATGAAGTAAAACTACGATTTCTGAAACTTTTAATCAGTAATATTAAATAAGTGGTTGTTCTGTCCGTAAAAATAAGATGGTATGGTCATTTCATGCACAAGATGCACCATAAGTTGTAAATGCTTCAATTTCCGTATCATATGATGTTTTCACAGCAATTTTGATGTGTGAATGATTTGGAGTAGCAGTTGAGTGTTACGTGAGGTAGGTGTTTGGTTTTAGAACAGTAGCATGGTGGCAATTCTTGATGGTTGCTAGCATTCCAGCAAAGCGTATCAACCGATGTGTTAAATACGCAATACCAAAAACACACGTAAAAAAACAAAATTAATGCGACAACGTGCATACGCAGAACAGACACTACGCATGAAAACATGAGCTGCGCATACCGGGAATCGAACCCGGGTCAACGCCTTGGGAAGGCGCCATTCTACCATTGAACCATATACGCTTCACACGCTAACAAATAAACAAATCAAATAAGCACCAGCATTTCGGCCAGACCAGCACATAATACGAACAAGGAAATAATACCACACAAAAATCACAGTCTTGATGCTTGTCATTAAATAGGATCAAGGACCTAAAAATGAGTTTCTCACGTATTACCGGACAGATTGGTAATGTTGGTGTTTTAAATGTTGACTACCGCATATTAGTAATTGGAACCAAAAATTAGTGATCGTTTTACAATTTTTTAACCGAGTGGAAATTAATAAGTATGCTGCCCTTCAAAGCACAGGCTCTACTGTTCTCTTCACAAAATTTGTGCTTGCAAATAGGTCTACCCCAGATATTGGTATTGATGAATTGTTATTACTCCCCACAATTGTTGTTGTGAAGGAAAAATGTATTTGCTGTTGACATAAAGAGATCGTTTCCAACAAAAACACTATCTTTCACTCCTATAATTGACCGATAATCGTTTAACGTTGGCACAGGTACAGATGCTCGGAAAAAGTATTGGTACTAACAACAATCAAGGATGTTGAATGTAAGCCACATTCAAAAACACAGGTATTACTAGACATAAAATCTTTAATGCTGATAATAAATAGAATTTCTCCTTTTAACGAGTTCCAATCGGGTATTTTTGCAAAAATGGCCTCCTACCCTATACACCGTATATACCCTTTCGGCTCGGTCGGCCAACACATTAAAACTGGTAAATATTGTATCGTAATCTTTTTAATTTATATACACGAAAATAAATGAAGTGTTCTATCGTTCATGTTGCGGTAAGTTATTCTCTGCCGTAGGCGCATTAACGGTGTAATTCGCATAGTCGTGGTTTACCGGCTGTTTATTTATCAGGCCGTCTGTGTGTTTGCCGTAGAACTGACCGTCATTGTAAAACGGCTTCATATTATCTTCTACTCCCTGGTTATCTTCATATGCGGTGTATGCTGGGTCTAACTCATTGCGCGGGATAATAAAAATGAGGAAATCATACACGTCCGACGTTCTCACGGCCGCTGATAAATCATTCTTCTGTAATATGCGTCTTTTGTTTTCCTCAGTGTTGATCCAGGCTCTGAGTGTCAGCTCCTCAATAAACATTTCGGCAACCTTGGAGAAAAGAATGGGCACCTCTGATGCCACCATCTTGACTTCTTCTTCAACTTTCATCAACCTCTTTATTCGTGCTAGAGGGAGTTGTAAATCCTTATAATTCCACGATTCTGTATCTGCTTTGTGCAAGGATCTCAACCAAAAGTTCTCAATTATGGCTTTTGTTTTGTTTTTGAGTGTCCTACCGCCAGAATCCATAATATCCGCAACGAAGGGCTCCTTCTTATCATCTACTTTATGAAACAGTACGTTTTGTAATGTGAAACGTGTAGTGAAGTGTTTGTGTTTTCTATGTCATTTTTTACTCTGCTTTTTGTTTCAACCACAACCGTGGCCGTATAAAACAAATTTTTTACATTTTAAAATAACACCAACTGCTGATATCACACAATAATAACAGCGATTATGACATCTGAGAATCAGAACACGGCATTTTCATCAAATATACGCGTTATCCATGCCTGCTCATTCTATGTGTTAGGATTATTTTATTTCATTTGGAACTGAGCCTTTTAAACTAAATCTATGGCAATAATACATGGATGACCACACATAGAGTCATTATTTAACAATACTACCCTTTTTTACACACATCGTACTGAGCGTACGAATACCTGAATTTGTCAGCAGCTGTCGACGGCCCTGCCACAGCTCATGAGATGCAGCTGTCCATTGTGTAACTAAACTGGTTAATAATACAATAAGAGTGAATCGCGCTAAAAAAATGTCCTCGCATTCATATCGTTCGATGATTTTTATTTATTCAGCAATCTCTCTACAAAGTGGCAATGTGTTGGCAAATCTAGTAATCACTAATCTATTCATTACGGTTGCTATCTCTTCCGTCACATGAGAGGGAATTTCTGTGTTGTATCACTGCATACGTTTCGGATGCTACGCACTCAATACTAATCTCACAGTGACAAAAAATCGATCAGAACTTTGTGCCATGCAGCCAATCATATATTCATTAACGGGAAGGAGAATATGATAAATGACCAGCATATTTGATTTATTTACACTGGTAAATCAAGATGCTTTTTTATTATCTACAATTATTTAACATAGTTACAGCCGAACCAATTTTAGTACGCAATTTCACCCACAGTTCTGTTTTGATTAAATTTTCTTTGCTATAGTCAATGCCATCAAATTATCACAGTTTGTATCTATGATCAAATGTACATACCGTATCCATAGGACATATAAACATTATCCTGTCTATTTATTCATTATAGCACTCTCATTTACTCTTCACTTTTGCACAACACGTTTTTACATTTTATATACTACCAATGAGTGCTTTCAGCCATTTTAAGCGATTTCTACTGACCTTTTTTCACAAGAAGTACATCAATTTGTTTTTTTCCTTCACTAAAAATACGTTAATTTATCTGCTCGCGCATTAACACTTGTACAAACACACCTTTATGATCCACTAACATTTGGTTCACAGCCAATATATATGTACGCACTAAACTCATTGGCTCGATTAATTGCATAACGCTCTCCACCCTGAGTGTACTTGAATCGTAGATTACTTTGCAATCATAAATCAGTAACAATGAGTCACCAAAGAAAGTAGGGTCATTACATCGATGTGTGAACCCACTGCTCTGAGCATATGCATCATCGCAATAATACGTACGATTGATTCGATTCATGGTAAACGATGTAACAATAATAAATTTAATTTTCATTCTGGTTACAATTCACATTCATGGATAACGTTTTGACATAAGATACACATTAAGTATACTCAACGGGTAAATCCATAAGTTTTCTCAGCATCCACAAAAAATGGCTAATTATCTTCTAACCAATTATATAAAAGCACAAACGATCAAGTTATCATGGTATTATAGAGTCCAAGCTTGGTGGTGTGTTGTGAGCTACACTACACTTGTGATCTTCAGCCAATTGTATCTTTTGGCATGGGTATGCGATATAATATCAGTAGTAGGCCATCGTGTTTATGGAGATAATACGCATTATGTATCAATTATGGAATGTAACTCTGTTCTTCATACTTCTCTTACCCTTCTAGGACTTACCATTCTACATTTTCGTGCATCCATTGTGGTGGTAAAATTGATAAGAATGTCATTCCTGTCGACATCAAAAAATTAAATTGGGTAAAATTATGGCAATAGTTGGTCCAGGATCTGAGCTATAGAATATGTTAACATACATCCCGTACGGCACTCGATATTGATCAGGATTCTAGAGACACGAACATTCGTTGCGCTTTCAGTAACAAAACATTGTCGTTTGCTCACTAAAAACGAATATTAATTTGATAAATTTTACTTATATGCGTAGCTTTCAGCATGCTGTTACAGATAAAGTCACCAAAAACGGCTATGACGAACTTCTAAAGAACTAATGCTTGTATTTTCACTCACATGGTGATTTAAAATCAATCCAGACCAGCGGTTCCCATCACTATGGGCATTGCATATATAACCATGGTTGCTACTATCTCCGCTACCAAGTTACCCTTCATCTACCTTCAGAACATCGCACAGATCACCTATTTTGATAATTTGTTTTTACAAGTATTCTCCTTACGTTACGCTCGAAATCAGTCATATCTCTCCTCAAACTGGGACAAGAAATCATGTTACTTCTGGTTCCGCATGATGAGAAACATACATTGCTTGACAATACTGTTTATACTTGTATTTTACCTGTTAAGAGATGATTCACACTATTTCTGACACTTGTTGCATAAGTATAAGCAGTGACTCAATAACAACTTGCAGTGAAAAAAATCATCTATACACACATCGAAATGATCTTCCATCCTGATATCTGAACATGTAGTGTTTACCATTGTGTTAAATAAGTTTAAATTTTGAGAATGTTCATGCCGATTCCACAATTCATTTCTTAACCGATTTTGACACGATTTACATTTTTTTATCTACTGATATTAATCTTGTGATACCGTTAACATACCCGTAATGTTCCCAAATATGATGATATATTTTCATTGCACATATCAGAATTTGCAAGCAATTTGCAGGAAGTCCGATACTGTTAACTTGTTCTATCTAATTATTTATCCATTAAACTTGGGAGCAATAAGCAAATCTTTGTTCATGAGAATAGTTGCAGAAAATGGGCTTAAAATACCATCAAACATTATTACAAAATCACATTGTCACAATATTGCCCAAATCAAATTTAATCATTTTTGTATTCTGATAACCTTTTTTTGATCCCATGCAGCAATAAAATATGACAGAGAAGACAAAGCAAAAATATCCATTTTTCCTGTTAAACCAATCGGTAATGCGATGCCAACACTAAAAATTATTAATTACCAGCTGCACTATCACGTTTTTCAAAAACGGGTGCATGAATGGATAGTATACAAAAATAGCGCTTTTGAACATAACTAAAACATTAGGTCATTCCTTTCTACTAACTGTTCCAAGGTTACAAAATTAATAAATCACTTTCATTATAATGGCTTAGTATGCACAACATTTCTAGTGTATACTTTACTATCCTCATGCTTTCCTTAGTCTCCATTGTCAGCAACATACACCCTTAGACCGTTTGCATAGCGCACTCTCGACAGAGCTACATACAACTGACCATGCACAAAGACTGGGCTGTGCAGATAAACACCTACCTTGTCAAATAACTGGCCCTGTGACCTGTGGATTGTCATCGGAAACGAAAGAAGAACAAGAAACTGTCTTCTCTTGAGTATGAATGGCAGCTGTGTCTCGCTCGGTGCCATGTCGATCCTTGGTATCACTGCCCTGCTACCTTTCCTGGATCCGGTTACAAT